ATTATAGGCCAACAAGTTACTTATAGCAGTTTAAATACGAGCAATCAGTTTTTGGCAAATACCGGAAATCAGTTTTTGGCAGACAATCACTTTTTGGCACAACACCGGCAACGTTATTTTTTTGGTACATGATTGTCTCGTACTACACTACAAAACCAATTTATAATTAATACTTCACTATTAATACAAACATTAGCACTGTTGTTATCATTTCGGACTGCGGTGCTTGTTCGCTTAGCTCATGTAACCTATTAAAACGCTGACATGTATTTTGTGTTTACACATCACTGTGTAGATGGCATAGATGACAAAAAAGCCCCAAAAAACAAAAACCTGTTCATAAAAACCAGAGGAATGAAAACATACATATATTTCTTATTTTTCTTCTACTCAAGCTGCATATTCATTGTAGGAGAAAAAAGTCCGGCATTATTAACGTCACTGTTTGATTAGCAGCTATGTACAGACGATAACACAGACAACATAACAACAACGTATATACGTACACGCAACGTACAGAGCTACTGCACACACACACATATATATATATATATATGTTGGAAGAATTTGCATGTTATAAAATTAATTCCTAAAAGCTGTGTCGACGTTGATAATCACGGTACCATGGGCAGTTTATATAGTGGGTAGCATCCAGATTAATTAAGGCGTCTAGAAGTTAGGGTCCAAACACACACACATACGCTACTATTCTACGATAATATACAATCGTGCATAATTTTATTCCATCTGATGACAATAAGTGCAATTTCTGCAATTACTTGTGCATAACACACGCACTGAGGTGGCTGTTGTGTGCATGTGTGTGACATTACGCCGCTTGTTGAGACGTTTGAGTAAAATCCACGAGCATTTTCGTAGGGATGGCACATCCAGAGCGTGTGTGGCTACTTGTCCTTCAGGGCACACCCCTCAATAGAAAGTAGAATAGAACTTTCCTGCAAACTTCGCTCATACAGTCGGGAAATTTCACTGTGGCGCACGCTGCAAGCTCACTGGTAAGTTGCATCAATTCAAATCTCGATGAGAAGGTGGAGGAAAAAATTTAAATGCTATTTTTTGTGCCTTTATCTCTTTAATAATCGTTATTAAGGCAAATGTGAGGCTCATCAGTTAAATTACAAAGCTCATGATCTATATTTGCATGCATGAAAGAAAGATGGGGAGAATATAACAGGTATGACATGATATTTATTTAAATGCTGTACAAAAGACAGAAAGACCATGACTGAGGAAACAGCCGGGGATGTTCCTGCTGCAGACTCTGAGGCAGATAAACAGGCTCCTGAGGAAGGGGCTCTGTCGAGGGAAAAATGGGCCAACAACATGGAGTTCATACTCTCTATGGCTGGTGAAATAATTGGTCTCGGAAATGTTTGGCGGTTCCCCTACCTGTGCTTCAAGAACGGAGGAGGTGAGAGGTTGGGTTTGTGGGAAAGTTGTTCAGATGGAAACATTCAACTAACAGATAAGGATCCTTCATTAAAAAATCAAAAAAAGAAACAAAAAACAAACCCACCTGCTAATGGAATAGTTTGTGTCTATAATTTTAGGTGTCTTCCTTATCCCCTACTGCGTGTTCCTCTTCTTCTGTGGCATCCCCGTGTTTTTCTTGGAGACAGCGCTGGGACAGTACACGAGTGAGGGTGGGGTGACTGCCTGGAGGAAGATATGTCCCATGTTTCAGGGTAAAAACAAGGCTCACATTTAGGAACTGCGTATTTCTGACAGCGCTTTCTTTGTGGAAATTGCAAAAACAATAGTGTAGCAGTTAGCAGTAATGAAAGTCACATATAGAAGGCTAAGTCTATATTTCCAAGCTTCAGATCCAGTAGCTGACTTGGGAGTTATCTAACTTTCAAACTTAATTACATAAAAAGGAGGATTTATTAACCGTGCATGGTGCTGGGAATTGCTTTTATATAATGTTTCTGTCTTCTTGTCATAAAAGAAAAGAAGACAGCAGTCAAAAATATCCTTTAACTGTCTGAAATGTCACTTGTCCTCTAGGGGTGGGGTTTGCGTCCCAAGTGATTGTGATCTATCTGAACATATACTACATTATTGTTTTGGCATGGGCTATCTTCTACCTAATAAACTCCTTCAAAAGTCCCCTGCCCTGGTCTACATGTGACAACTGGTGGAACTCTGGTAAGAATGCTTGCTTAAACCCACCTGTATTTGATAAGCAGTGATTTCTTTTCAAGACTTAAGAGAAAACAGCTAACATTCTCACTTTTATCCCTCTTTCTTTAATCACTTAGACTTGTGCCACAGTCGCATGAGCATCTTTGCAAACCCCCAACTGTTTCAGGCCGGGTCCAACTGGTCATTCTTACACAACGTCACCTCAATGGACTACTATGAGAATACAACTTAGTAAGTTGCATTTTGTTTTTCTGAGTTGTACAAATTAACTGTCCCCACTCTGTCTGCTCAACTGAAATCTTTTTATGTGGACTTGAAAAGAGTCTGACTATGAAAAGGTTAATAGTAATCATGGGATTAAACAGCACAATAGCATCTCTGAAACGCACCCATGCTTTACAGCAACATCTGGACAGCATTCACAGCACTTGCTCCACATTTTGTTATGTTACAGCCTTATTCCAAAAAGGATTAAAGTCATGTTTTACATCGAAATGCTACACACAACACCCCATAATAACAAAATGAAAAATGTTTGCTTGAAATTCTTACAAATTTATCAAAACAACCTGCAGCCCTTTGTTGCATGACTTCCCCTCTCTCTCCTCACTGTCCTGTCTATCTTCACTGCTCCACAGTCCACAAAAAGGTAAAAATGCCTATTTTTTTTTATATGCCATGGCATTTAAAAAAAAGTTTTTTTTAAACAAATTTCCAAGAATTACAAGCAAACTACTTTCACTTTGCCATTATGAGGTATTGTGTTTAGCATTTTAAGGTGAAAAAAATAATTGAATTCATTTTGGAATAAGGCTGTAACATAATTAAAAGGACAAGCGAAGCACTGTGAATGCTTTCCAGATGTACTGTAAATGTTTTTCAGGGTAGGAAATGCTCACTTACTCCTACCTTGGGATAATATAAAGATAATATGAGGGTGAAAAGCAACCAAATAAATCTAAAGGACTTGTCAAGCTTTAGTGTAATGTCAAATGTTTAAAATGTGCCCCATTTATGGTATATTTAATGCAACGTCTTATCTACATTTTTATATTCACTGCTTTGGATATTCCTATTATCTTCATTGGACATTTATGTGATATTTCTTACTAAAGTGGACCTATTATTCCTTATTTTCTGACGCATAGCACATGTGCTACAACTGCATAAGACCACACAGGGTGCCACTCCTGTCAGCTGAGAACAGGAAATGGAGGTTACAATTTGCACAGGGTTGCCAAATTTGGTGAGCCTGTGCAGGCTATTGTTAGGGGTGTAATTTGATATTTTCTTGGCACACGTGGGGCCCCTTGGTACCATCTGAGGATTAGTTAAATGCCACAGCCTTACTGAGTATTGAGTTGACAATGTTCATCCCTTTGTGACCATCTTCAGATGGCAGCCTCCATCAGAATAACACACCATGTCACAAAGCTCAGATTTTTCTAAACTGGGTTCTTGAAGATGCCAGCAAGCTCATTGTACTTGAATGGGCTCCACAGTCACCAGATCTCAATGCAATAGTGCAGAAAAAGTCACTTCACCCTTTAAAGCTTGTTAAGATCCCAGTTACCTCTGTACAGAAGTCTGGACTGGGTCTCCATTGAAATTGTCTGAGTGTCTGATCCTAGGGGTAGTACCACAATAGTTTAGATGATGTACCACACTACCAACCCTGAATAAGGAACAATCAGTTTTGCGAGCAAATTTGCTACAAAATTTACTTTGGTGACCTGGACAGGTGGCCTCAGGGATCTGTTAATTCTTAAAGGCTAGAATAACCTATAAGATCCTCACAAAAGTAGATGTTCAAACTCATACCCAAGTTCTACCTTTTCATTTAAAAAGAAAATCAAAAAGGGAACGTCCTCATAATTAAGTTTAATTTCAGATGGGATAGTTTATTAAGCAATTTAACAAGGGCAAAGCAAACAGCTCATCAATTATTAAGAATAAAATCATTTTAAATTTTAAACATTTCAAGAAAAGTAACACATTTTAAAATATAAAATAATGAAATCTAAACTGTTGCTAATAACTCATTACCAGTTTTGATGAGGCTTTAGTGGAGGACAGAGAGAACACAG